TCATGAACGTCTTGTGTAAGCTCTTGTGATGGCCTCGGGACCTCCAGTGTGAGAGCCACGTTCTTTGTCAAGGTTGGAGTGAGGTTCGGCAAGGGCTTACGTCGGTCTGAGGTCCCCCTCCCTCCCTCCCTCCCCCCTTCCCCAAGTGACTAGCCCAATGGCTTGGAATGTGCAGTTAAATATCCATTCTTCTCCAGTTTGTGTTCCTGCATTACGTACTAATTCTGGTTTTCTTGGGACGTGATTTGACTCTTTTTAAAAAATCTAATCGCTATCTTCACCTTCTTTTTCCTCTATTTGTCTTCGGATCACTAAGTGACTTATTCCTTCAACGTAGCTCTAACTTCCGGCGTCCAGCCATACGTTCCTAGTTGGCCAAGCAGTCTTAGAGTCGCTGCGTCCTGTCACTGTCTTCTTCCTATCATTGCCTGCTCTTTCTGTCTTTTTTTTGCAACTTCCTCTACTACTATAAGGCCGAGAGACAGCAAGGTGTCCCGAACTCTCAAGGACAGTCCCCGGTTCAGCCTAAGGCTCAGCCTCAGGCACAGCCACAGGCACAGCCCCAGGCTCAGCCCCAGGCACAGCCCCAGGCACAGCCCCAGGCACAGCCCCAGGCACAGCCAAAGGCACAGCCTCAGGCACAGCCAAAGGCACAGCCTCAGGCACAGCCAAAGGCGCAGCCCAGAGCTCAGTCTCAGCAGGTAATTGAAAAGCAGGTTACCAGAGATGCATGGCATAGTTAGACAATAGATGCGATAATTTGAAGTAGAAGTGATTTACTTTACATATGATTTTATATGAACAATACTGAGAATAATTGGAAAGCAAGGTAAGTGTGGTCACTTCTTTGAATAGCAAATCTTAGTGATTTGGCTTTAGTGCCGAGGCAGCAAGTGTAGTTACCTTAGGTGGCAGGTGAGCATGGGTCAAGGGCCAGCATGATAAACTTTACACCAAGACGGATAAATGGATTATCATGAGGTTGCGTTAGAGAAGTGTTCAACGTTTAGCCTATCTACTGTCCCTCTGATACGTTTTCCATTGAAAGAATATACTCTGACGTCTTCTACTTTGTCTATCTTAGTGACACTCCTGGTATTACGGACTTAACCGATCAAATCACAACAAAATGCTCACAAAGATACAACAGCATATGCTTGTTTCGTTTTATTTATTCATTTTTTCTCTTGATAATTTTAAGCATACCAACTAATCGTTTCCCCTTTTGCTTTTTTCGCTCTCTTCTCAGGCGAGGCCAAACCAGGTATTAGTTTGCGTGGAGTTCCGGGTGCCACAAGCGTTCTCATGGCATTCAGTTAATATTATCTCGGAACTCGACTGGTAGACGGCTATCACGTTATCCCTGTAGTTATAGATTTTGTTCCCACATTACTGAGACGTGTTAATAGATCTGTGGCGTCTTAGTCTTCTACCAGACGAGGGTCGACGTGGCATAAGAACCAATTGCTCGGGGGATACATTCATTCACGCATTTTTCAAATACGAGCTTTTTTGTAAATCGATATTTCTATTCAATATTACGAATTTGGCAATCATAGGGGAATGCATAGACCGTCAGGGAATTAAGGGCAGTCCATTGACAAAGAAGATACAACTCACAAAGCTTCTCCGGTGCCATACAAGTCGATGATGAGTGCCATGGTAATGCAGTCAGTAAGTTATTCAGCCAATCTCAACCTTCGTCTCATCCACTATGACCACCAGTCCACGTATTATGAGTAATGTGCGCCACCGTGACCAGCAGGTAAATCCCCTGTGTTCACCATATTAGCGTTGGATCACATACCTAGTATGCTGAGTACACAAGCGTTGATAGAGTACGTTTTGACATTTTGGCAAGGCACGAATGGGAATGAATTATTTTACATTGCGAAGGTATTAATTTTTTCTTTAAGAAATAAAAAATGGAAAAGGAAGACGTAGAGCGAAATGTCAATTACATAGTCTAAACAGTGAAATTATTAATTCTCATTCTCACCTTCTATGACACGATAGTAAGGTCACATAGACTCTCTATCCGCTAAGTAATATGTAATTGTTTACCTTTTCGCTTCATTTATAAATGGCATACCTTCATGTACAGGTTAACAAGGGCTAATGATAAAAAAAGAAAAAAAAAGTTTTAATTTCTGAATAGAAGATAGAGAATCGTGTAAGCTACAGGATTTAGATCAGTACCTTTATATCTTTTCTGTTTATGATGAATTATTTTTGTCCTTTAAGAGATGGGCGTTCTTTTTTTGTTGCTGTCAGGTTTATCTATGGACTTGGATTTTTTCACTAGGTAGGGTTTTTAAGTTGTTGATTTGGTGTATTGTTTCAAATAATTCTCTGCTATAATTCTTTGCAGAAAATGAATGGGCATTTTTTCCATACGTATGAATTTTTATAACATATAATTTGAGTTTTCCTGAATCGGCTAATACCGCCCTCAACGTTACATCTCAATCAGGGAGTAACTGATACTACCGCACATTAT